AGGCCGCCACAGCCTCAGGTCGTACATTTCCGCAAGGCCGCCAAGCCGCCATCGTGCCAAGCCGCTAGCCATTGCCGCATCGGGCCGCCGCCGCGTCCGGCCGCTGATCTTCCTGGCCGCTAGGCCCCAAATCGTCCGGTCGCTGATATTCCAGGCCGCTAGGCCCCAGGTCGCCCGGCCGCCGATCTTCTCGGCCGTTAAGGCCCGAGCCGTCCGGCCGCCGATTTTCCCAGCCATTAGGCCCCGAGTCGACCGGCCGTCGATTTCCCGGCCGCCGATTTCCCGGCCGCTAGGCCCCAAGTCGCCAGGCCTCTCCACTCGGCTGCTCCGCCACTCCGCTCGCAGCCGCCAATTTCCCGGCCGCTAGGCCCCAAGACACCAGGCCTCTCCGCTCGGCTTCTCCGCCTCTCCGCTCGCGGCCCCGCCCGGATGGTCTCGGCGGTCTCCGCGGGGTCCAGCGCGCCTTCTTCGCTCACACACTCTCAAGGACGCAAAAGAGGAACAAAATGAAGGATGAAAGCCCCAAAATTGTGCACACCAAAAGAAGCCATGGCTTCTTTATTTCTAACCTTGGCCCATGGATTTATTTTGTCAAATTCTGCACAAGAAACACATTCATTTATTATTTTCATGTATATTTAGCCAATTTATTTCACAAACTCTCATTTTTCTTAAAAAACAAACAATCTGTAGTATTTCTATTTTAGTTTACCAACTAATTCTCCCACTTTACTCAAGCTGAAATCTACTTAAAGTAACAGGAAATCATCATAAATCTAATAAATTTAAGATGTACTGCTCTTCATTTCCCATAAACCGAGTCAGCATAACTGGCTAGGAAGGCACCAAATTTGAGATCGCTATCTCACACCATTTTCTGTTCTTCTGCATGCCAACTTTTAGGATGTTTTTAATCCAATGTCTGTCTGGAAAATAATCATGTGCTTCCAAATGGAAAATTCAGTATTCCAAGATGTATTTTATACCCAATTTCACTTTTTTTTAAATAACTCGTTTCTCTTCAAACAGAACTCTTATACAAAATAAATATGATTCTCAAAAGTATTCAGTGATTTGTGTCATGATACAACATTTATAAAAAATTGGCTCTTAAGGGACTGTCTGAATCTATATACTATTAAAACTATTGTTCCTGTAACCTTTAAGTGGGTGAAACGGTGCATCACAATGCAACAATTTTTGAGCCAAGATACTTCAAATGGGCCAATTTACAGAACGCATCCAAAATCTGAAACCCATGACTCTTCTGGAATTGAAATCTAGCAAATTTTATAAAGGATTTATAACATAAAAATTATCATAAAACAGTTAATGACATAATACAAAATGTCATAAAACATTTCCTGTGCTGATATTTGCCTGTGCTATATAGTGCAACATGAGCTATTTTCAAGACTGATAAATCTCTGAATGTATATCCCAATTTTTTCAGTGAAGGCAGAATGTTAGAAATTCTGTCACTGTTGAAGGCATTGAGGAATCTGGTAAGGAAAATATGTCGTGAATGGAGAATTCAGTAGGTCATGAGTTTCTAGTACAGATGTCCCCAACCTTTTGGGCACCAGGGACCAGTTCCACGGAGAGAGGTTTTTCTGTGGACCGGAGGGTTCGTGGTTTTGTGTGGTGCCTGCATCTCGTGGATGGGGCTTTGTTTGTTTGTGCAGCCAAGTTGCTGGCATGCTGTGGCCTGGTACTGGTCCATGGACCAGGGGTTGGGAACCCCTGGTCTAGTATGTATTTAAATGTAATGCTGCTGGTCCAGTGTATGAGTATGAATGTTCACACAGACCTTAAATTAAGCACATAATGTAAGCTAAATTTATACCCACACTTGAAAATTAAATGTGGCCTGGTGTATTATGCATCACTTGTGGTCATCAGCAGTGTGTTTTATAAAATATGGTTTTATAACCATGATATTGTAATTTCAAGGAGGAAGTCTGAGGAAGAACGTCAGAAGAAGGAAGACGAAAGAGCACGGCGAGACTTTATTAAGCAGGAATATATGAGGCGAAAGCAACTGAAACTAATGGAAGACATGGACCTTGTCTTAAAGCATCGCCCTCATTTTTCCAAACAAAAGAAGGCACGTCCAAAATCCATTCATAGGGATCACATTGAGTCACCTAAAACACCAATCAAAGGTCCTCCAGGTAATAACTGATTCCAGAAGAAGACATGTTTGTGCCCCTGCACAAAGCAAGAGCATATAATTTTCTAGGATCTATTAATCCAGGGAATATAATCCCTCTTAAACCCTATTCTACTTTTTTTTACTTTTGTGGGGCTTAAATGCTTTGGGGGTGGGTTGTTTCCTTTTTTATGGACAACAGTTAAAATTACTGTGGTAGTTAAACTCTTTGTATTTTTAATATTTCTGCACAAGTATGACCTAAAACATAATCTGTTTCCAAACATGTTCTAGGTAAAGAGAACCCTATTAAACAAATGAGTCAAAACCACTACACATATTGATTTATTTACTGATGAAAATGATCCAATGCTATTTACAGTATATGTGAGTGACAAAAGTATGCAAGCCTTTGCTTTCAGTAACCCCATCCCCAAGCAATAATTCATTAAAGCGAAAAAGTTCTGTTTTGGTTTCATCCATCCAGAGAACATTCCTCAATAAATAGTCTTCCGGCTTGTCCTTATGGATTTTCGTAAATATTTTAGACAATCAACAATATTCTTTTTGGAGACTAGTGGCTTTTTCTTTCATCCCTGCCTCGCAGACCATTGTTGTTCAGTGTTCTGCTGATGGTGGCAGAGAAAGTAATTATTAAACATTAAGCTAGCTTCCCTTATGGATAGTTTGCAGGCTGTATCTTGTTTATTTTAAACTTTCTTGTATTTATACAACTTTATAACTGACTGTCAATGTTTTTATTTCTTTTTCTCAGTATCAAGTCTTTCCCTTGCATCATTAAACACAGCAGACAATGAGAGCGTGCAATCAGGCAAGAGGACACCAAGGTAAATCTTCAGTTTACAATTCTGTTTTTTATAGAAATTACCTTAAAAAGCCTAGCACAATGCTATTCAATATGTGCTGCAGCTACTTAGTATATAGTCAAGAAATCAGTGACTGTGGTTCTACTGGTACAAATAATGGATCTGTTCATATGTGGCACCATGTAGAGGGAAGAGGGAATGGCCTTGAGAAACAGAAGGAAGAGCTACTAGCAAGACAATAGTCAGATAAAAGAGGCCTGAGTCCAAGATAGGAAAGTAACTTGAGTAAATGTCTCAAATAAGACCCTCCCTAGTTCTGACAAAGATAAGGCGAGGGAATGGGAAAGCTCATTTAGGCAGGCAAGTTCCTGGTACTAATATTGTGCTGGTTCTGCTCCTTTCTCCAAGGCCAGTCTCAATAGGTATTGATAGGGAGTGAGAGGTCCAGCCCATGGGCACGCCCTTGTGGGTTGCCAGAGGATTCAATACTCTCTCTGCTTCTTTTTAACATCTACATGAAACTGGTGGTGTGATCATCTGATACCGTGGGATGAGATATCATCAGTATGCTGATGATACACAGCTTTACCTCTCCATCCCTCGTGATGCAATAAATGCTGCCCTTTGTGGATACCTGGAGGCTGTAGGGATCTGGATGGGAGACAACAAGCTTCAGCTCAACCCTGGCAAGACAGAGTGGCAGTGGGTGCAATTGTTTATCATCTTTAGCTCTGGATGAGGTTGCACTACTCCAGATAGATCTGATGCACAAGAGCACAATCAAAGAGCAAGTGGCTAAGAGGGCCTTTACTCAACTTCATGTTGTGCATCAATTGCATCCTTACCTGGATTTTGAGGCCCTGTGCATGGTCACTCTTGCCCTAGTCATCCCTTGGTTGGATTACTTCAATCTGCTCCAAATGGAGCTACCCTTGAAGAATATCCAGAAGCTACAGCTGGTATAGAATGCAGCAGTGGACATAATTCTGGCGGCCCTAGAGTGACATGTATAACACTGTTGATGTGTGAGCTGCATTGGTTACCAGTTTGCTTCTGAGTCCAATTCAAGATGCTGGTTATTACCTTTAAAGCCTTATATGATATAGGTCCAGGGTATCTGCAGAACCATCTCACCCCAATGGGGCTAGGCCACCCCACCTGCTAAGGAATTTCAGCAGGTAGGGTCAAGGAGAAGAATCTTTTCTGCAGTGCCTTGACCCTATGGAACATTACCACCAGAAGTGAGCTGTTTCCACCCTTTGGGCTTTCTGGAAGGGTATTAAAATTTGGTTTTGCCAGTTGGCTTGGGCCATGAGGGGGTACTCACTGCTGGAGATGGTTAATGGGGTAACCATCCCCATCCCATGTATCACCTTGGTTCTGGTTTTCTGCATAGTTTTAAAAATTTAATGTGCATAGTTTTAACATTTTAATTGCTTTCCTATTTATCTTTTTAAGTTCTGTAAGCCACCCAAAGTCACTCTTATCAGGGAGACAGGTGGCATGTAAATTTAATAGGAGATGGGTGGCATATAAATTTAATAGTTGTATGTGAGTGTTGTAAATGGTAAAAATAGCTGGGTTTTATTGCTTTACTATACAAAGAAAAGAAAAAAAACCCTAAAAACAAAACAGAAAAATATGGAGTCCTTGGTGGTCTTTGAGCTTCATTGTTTGCCTGTAGACATTTCATTACTTAAGTAGGAAAAACTTACTATCCATGCTATCATTAAATTAGATTTATAAAATGTTGATGCCAAATATTGAACCCAACTCCAAAATATAGGCTACCTTTAATTATCTATCCTGCACAATCTGTTTTTTTTTTAAATAAAAAATTAGGCAAATTTCTAATAATACTGGATTATTGACTGAGATTTTGTGTATTTTAATAATATGCAAAGTTACATTTAAATGTTAAAATGTTAATTTTTTCAGATTTTAATTCAGATTTAATTATCTTGAGCATTCAATTGAATGGTAAAAATTAAAAATTTTAAAATTAAATAGAATCTGTATTCTAGACACGCGGAAGAAATAATCTGTGGTTAGATTATTTGCTTCCATGTGACATCTTCTTATATGTGGCTATTTCCACATATGTTTTTCGTTTCAGTATTGAATAGCAAACATTATTATAGGCACAATATGTTTTCTATTTATTGTCATACTTTAGATCTGAGTCTGTGGAAGGATTCTTATCTCCAAGTTGTTGTGGTAGTCGTAATGGGGAAAAAGACTGGGAAAATGCATCAACTACTTCTTCAGTAGCGTCTGCTACAGAATATACAGGTTGGTGTTACAGATGTAGTTTGAAGGAAAATCCTTGGAAAACCAAATTATCCCAAGGGGAAAAATGTTGAATTAATCCATTTCTTCAAGTGAACACATGTTTGGTTTTCAACCGAGAAGAATATAATGTTATTCCCCCCTCTTCCCTTCATCTTCTCCACCAATCTTTCCACTTAACTGCAAATTATGCTAGACATATTGCAGTATGGCTACCGATTACTTCCATCGGAATCATGTTTCTTCACTTTTATCCGGGAATCATGCATTTCTATGGATGATAGAGGTAAGCAAATCATAATCCTTAATCCACATGCAAGTCCCACCAGCCCCCTTTTTTTACAATTTTCAGAGGCCTCAGATCATACCACTCATTTTGGTGGCAAAATGATGGTTTTCATCAGCGCCTGGAGCTCTGATTGTGTTAAGGAGCCTGTTTCTTGGTTCTACTGTTAGTGTGTTAACTATTTTGGCTGCTCTATGTATTTATTTTTGGGGTGTTTTTATTGTTTTTAATTGTCTTATCTGTTTTATAGAATTGTTTTATAAACTCTTTTATACAATTTAGAATTGTAAGCCGTCCAGAATTACTTAACTAAGATGGCAACTATGGAATTTGAATGAATGAATGAGTGAATTAATGAATGTATGAATGAATAATCATGGTATTTAAGGCTTATTTTTCTAAATCATATTGACTTTGTTTGACGTCCTCTTCCTCTCTCTCTCTTTTTTAAAAATTAGGACCAAAGCTCTACAAAGAACCCAGTGCAAAATCCAATAAGCACATCATCCAAAATGCACTTGCCCATTGTTGTCTGGCTGGAAAAGTAAATGAAGGACAGAAGAATAAAATACTAGAGGTAAGACTAATCTACAAAGAAACAAAAAGAAAAAAGTTCAAATCTAAAGCTGGAACTGCAATATGTATTAGAGCAGGGGTCCTCAACCTTGGCAACTTTAAGACTTGTGAATTTCAACTCCCAGAAGTCTTAAAAGTCTTAAAGTTGCCATGGTTGGAGACCCCTGAATTAGAGGAGTAACTAGACAATTCAAGCTATTATTTCAAGCACATATAATGGAAAGGCAGCCATGAGAAAAAGCGCACGAGGAGGAATGGTCTCAATATTTTTAAAGACATTTTATCCTACCTTTAATATTTTTTAAAATAACTCAAGATAGAAGTCATACCTAATACTACTTGATCCTATTTTCCCCACAACAACAACCCTGTAAGGTAGGTTGGCTGAGAGAGAGTGACTGGCCCTTTGTCACCCAGCTAGTTTTCATTCCTGAGGCAAGACTACAACTCGTAATCTCTTGATTTCTCGCTTGGTGTCTTAACCACTAGTCCAAACCTGTCTGTTCACATAAAGCAGTAGACCTTGACTTACGACCACTTGTTTAATGACTCTTCAGAGTTACAGTAGTGCTGAAAAAAATGATTTACAGCCACTCCTTACATTTACAACCATCATAGCATCACTGTAGTCACTTGATCAAAATTAGGCATTTGGCAACCAGCATGTTTGCTTGCAGTATTCTGGGGTCACTTGATCATCATTTATGATTTTTCCAGGGGGCTCCCAACAAGCAAAGTCAACAGGGGAAGCCAGATTTGCTTAACAATCATGTGATTCACTTACAACCACAGCAAAAAAGGTCGTAAATTCGGGCACAATTCACCAACCACATTGCTTGGTAACAGATGTTCCTGTCCCAATTGCGATCATAAATCAAGAACTACCTGTAAATCCATCTTGATGCCATTGATTAATATTCCAGAATTGTCGAAAGTTTTAACACCTAGAATTCCCAGTTGGAGTGGCTATCGGACTCAAATCTTGAGGGGGGTACAGCATTAAGCAAAGAGAGTGTAACTATCTTGTACCTGAAAAATATTTTTAGTGTTTAAAATAATGTTTGTTTAGTTTTGCAATACTACAATCACATGTCTCTTGTCAGAATACACACAAAACATTCAAATACAATACACATAAACTTAAAAACAACTCCATCAAAATAAAGCTAAACTAGACTACATAATGATAGGAAATACTAATGGTACTATTTAACTAAACCCTTTAGTAAAGTACTGGTTTTACATGTTTGTTCGCACAAGCATGTATATCACTTGTTTACTTTATAAATGATAACAATCACTCACAGTTAATTCTATAAATTATTACTGTATTTTAAGAGACACCCCCCCAAAACTATTTGTTTTTAGTTCATTTGTACATTTGATGCCTCAAACGTCATGTAGTAACAACGAATGTTTTAATTCACATCTTGGACATTGAATCCTTTTCTAAGAGTTCAAGAAAAATTCCTTGTACTTAAAAGCATTCAAGTGCATTTTTACCTTTGCCACAATAAGAACTTACTTTTCTTCTTTATTCCCTGAAGGAAATGGAGAAATCAGATGCCAACAACTTCCTAATCCTCTTCCGGGACTCCGGCTGCCAGTTCCGATCTTTATATACATACTGCCCTGAAACTGAAGAGATCACTAAACTGACTGGGATAGGCCCCAGATCAATCACTAAGAGAATGATCGAAAGTCTCTATAAGTATAACTCTGACAGGAAGCAGTTTAGCCACATACCTGCAAAGACACTCTCTGCAAGCGTTGATGCAATTACCATTCACAGCCATTTATGGCAGAGCAAGAGACCAGTAACACCCAAAAAGCTCTCATCTTCAAAGACATAGCTACCTGTGGGAAGTTATTTCTTGCTTTAGGCAAGAAACTGTGGCAAACTTGCACTTCATTATTCACGGTCTGTTACTAAATAGACTCCGATTTGGTAACAAGGCTCCTTTGAAAGAGCAAGCTCTGTTGTCATTGCCAACTGGAATGTAAACATAGTGTTGAAGACTTGCAGAAAACCGACACTTGGGTGTTGCGCATCATGAACGATGGATTCACATCTGGGGATTTTAGTTGTTTACTCATGGTATGTGGTGTTCCTTTCCCTCGGTTCTGCAGCTCTGAATGTTTGCACACTTACGAGACTGAAGTTTTAAAAGTTTTACATTTACTGCCTTATACTGTTAATGCTTGTTTTTGGAATTTGCTTCTGTTCTTTATAACTTTACTGGAGTAATGTGTCTTACATGCCACACCATTATTATTATTATTATTATTATTATTATTATTATTATGGTTGGTCACACAGTCAGACAGATGTTTAGACTGGATTTGGCATTTTTATCCACCTATCAAGTCCTTCCCAAGGACCTGGGATAGGCAAATGTTGCTATTATTATTATTTTATTAATATCCTGCAGATAACAAAGGGCACAAGCCTGATTCACAATAAAATTAAGCTTAGCTAAACTTTTTAATTCTGATTTTTTTTTTTTGAAGCACACCGTATAGGAGAAAAGCTTCTTGTAAGACATATGCAGGATTGTTGCTAGCATGTCTTAAATTCTAATAGGGAAATGTGTCTACTATTGTTGTGAAGACATCATCCTTATATTTAACAATCCATCATGGCACTGATTCAGGGTAGCATGAAATGAAAACGTATGCACTGGTAGACTTTTTTCCATCGTTATGTTCTTCTAAACAGGCATCCGTTCTTCAATTTCTGCCCAAGCTTCTGCTTAAATTGCATCCTGTAATTTTGCACAGATTCTCCCTCCTATAAGGAAACAAACTCCACATAAATAAAATAATACTAATTGGATGGATATGTAAATTGGATCCATAAGTTGGGAATTATTGCTGACGTTTAAAATCCAGTATTAAATGTGTTAAAGTAATACATTTCACGTGGGTCTTTTGGAGGAAGTAGAAAAAGGTGTATCTAGTTTATGATCAAGATGTTGCCCAATATATGGACCAAAGTTAAATTTCTTTCCACAATATAGAGAGGTAATTTTATTTGAGTAGTTTACTGCATTGGTTAGATTTATGCCATCCTAAGTCTAACTGAAAGGAACTAGGGCAATCTACAATTTAATATAAAAATATCACTAGGACCTGAAGGGCTGTGTTGCATTGATTACTTTAGAAAAGTAATTCCTGTTTGGAACTTTGATTAACTGACAAGTGGCAACATTTGAACTTGACATCTACCCTTATTTTTCCTATTGCTTTTTCACATTCAGACCCCAGACAATTTAGTTGTGGGGTGGGAGGGGAACTAGGTAGAACCACATTCTCAGGAAAAGACTTGAATTACTGCTCTGGTTCTGTTTCAGTATTGTAAAAAGTGTTGAAACTTAGACAGTATTGAACTATCTGTCTTATGCTTGAATTTTATAATATGTCCTGCAAAGGAAAATGTAAACGTTCTGTACACTTCTCCCATTGAAAAGCTTGATTCAGACTAGTATTTCACTACAGTTTGCTTTTGTTCTTTGTATAGATGATGTACAGGAATGAAAAATCCTAAATTTAGAGAACACTTTTTTTAAATTATTAAGCAGCCCTAAGCATCAATGTTTCTGGGTTGTTTATCAAATTTTTTCAAAGATGCAGCCAATATTTTACTGTAATTTATGTTATTATATTTATGTATATTTGTTAAAACTATAAAAAAATGAAATATATTTGTGGTTAGTTCATTCCTACTGTTTGCATGTAAGGACAGGGATATCTAACCTATCTTTTATCCAAATGTAAACATATTGTATATATATAGAAAGAGAGTACACACAAACACACACATATATATATATATGTGTAAAATAGGAGATTGTTCTATGCATTCTACTCTCTTAAGCTTATCCTCCAACTAATGGCAGAGGGGCATTTTATTGCAAACCCAAATAAATGTACACCTAATTTAAAGATAGTTCAAGTATATCTATGGTTAGGAGAGAAAAGTTTGGACATAATGTTGGTGAAAGAAGAAATTGTGTGCAAGAGTTTTTAATCTGAAGTATTCTTGCTAAGGAAAGAAACGTTCTTTAAAAATATACACTACACTGATTCTTGCACACCTATCTAAACAGGATGATTTTAAAAATGTAGCAGCAGAGGATGTTATTTTAAATTATTGAATGTATTATGAATTTTGTCTACATTTCAGAGAAACATTCTGTGCAATGTCTTAAAGGTGGGATGTGAATATTACCAATAAAAGTCAGACCCCGAGATTAAATTTTTACTATACAGTATACTAAGAAAGTAATTGACAGGGTTGAGGCTGCTGGTTTTTAATTTTTAAGGTTGGAAATTTTCTACTAACCTATGTAATTTGATATTCTGCTTGGAAAAAGAAAAGGCTTTGTGAAGAAGCCCAGTGTTTTATTAGTGATAATATCAAGTGCACTGGTTCTTTATAAGAAAGGCATTGTTTTTATTGTTTATAATTTGCCAAACATCCTAATTTGGGGGTCAGGTATTTAAAGTCTGACAGTCATGATGGCTACTGAAACTATATGGGGTAGGGCAGGGGTCCTCAACCTTGGCAACTTTAAAACTTGTGGACTTTGCTGGCTGAGGACTTTGTTGGTTGAGGATCCCTGCGGTAGGGGAAATGACTGTTGGTGTATGTTTTTAATTCTTTGGCTGTTTAAAGCCAATTTCTGCTTATTTATAATTTAATGGGCACCGTCCGTTGAGAACTGTACAGTGATTGTATGCTTCCTTGTCCACTTTTTGGAGCATTGCTACTCTATTCTCTTTTTCAGATGCTGTGCTGTAAAATACTGTCGTATAGCTGCTTACTTAGTACAATGTAGTTCTTCTCTTCCATCTAAATAAAAAGCATGGCACCAAAATCCTACTAGTGATGTTATTTTTTTGTATACAATTTCAATTTAGATTACATAGCTCTGTAAGATATTATACTGCTAGTTAGTTAATACTTTTTTTGACCCCCTTTATGGGTTTAGGCAATATCCTACAAAGAGATAGATTTTGCAACAGAATGATCAACTACTTTAACCCAAATACAGCAAAACCTCTATCTAATGGGCCATTTGGGGAGTGTCCGTTAAAACCAAATGTCTGTTAAATCCAAAAGATATCTTTGCCCACATGTAAAAAGTATGTCTGTCATTTTCCTAACATGTACAAACTCAACAGGCCACTTAGTTTTTCAAGCTAGGGGAATTTGCACTGTAGCAGCCATCTTGCTATAGTCATCCTGGAGCAGCATTACAAGCCTAAGAGCTGTAGAAAACACAAACAGCCCCTTCACTTCTTCACAGATGCCCCAAACTGTCCACCATGACTCCTGCTAGGGTCAGATCACACCATATCCCATGTCCCCCAGTATGTAAAAAGGTTAAATCATGGCAACTGGACCAAAGTTTATTAAACAGACATTCACTACTCATCCAAGTAACTTCTTCAGTTAAATGAAATTTTTTGGGTTAGACACAGAGTTAGAGAATCGTTGAAATGAACTAACTCTTGCAGGGGTTCCTCCCCAACATGAAATGTAATATGTAAATGTAGACTCAATCATCCAGACCAAAAGCATGTAAAAAGGTTAAATCATGGCAATTGCCCTCAGTATCTTCCCAGCAATCTTCCCAGTGCTACCTCCAATCTTCCCATCAGCCGGCCCACCTACCCCAACCTCTCGAGCACCTTCCCAGAAACATAAAACCTTGTTTTAACTAACTTATTTCAAAGAATGTCCAACTCAGATTTTGTCTGTTGCATCCCAAGACTGTCAAATCAAAGTTTTATTGTCAATGCATGAGTGTATTTGCTTTTCAGGATCCATCTAGATTCGGGGGTTTTTTTTCCCCAGTTTGGCACTTTTAAGATTTGTGACCTTTAACTCCCAGAATTCCCCTGCTAGCATTAATCCATGTCCACACATCATAAAGTTGCCAAATTTGAAAAACATTGAACTAGACTTATGTTGTGGTTATAATCATAACCATGTTTCTGACTAATGTAAAATATTTATAAATGGGCCTCAATAAGTCTTCGACTTACAATCATTTGTTTAGTGATCATTTGATGTTATACCGGCGCTAAAAAAAGTGATTTCTGACCATTTTTCACACTTACAACCATTGCAGCATACCCATGGTCACATGATCAAAATTCAGACAATTGGCATGTATGTATGACAGTTATAGTGTCCCCGGGTTACGTGATCACCTTTTGCAACCTTCTGACAAGCAAAGTCAATGGGGAAGCCAGATTCACTTAACCGTGTTACTGACTTAACAATTGCAGTGACTCACTTAACAACTGAGCTAAAAAAAGATCGTAAAGTAGGACAAAGCTCAACAACTGTCTTGCTGAGCAATGGAAATATTTGGCTCAATTGTCATAAGTCAAGCACTACTTGTATAAAATATTGCTATGTATTCATAGTCTCTGTATTATTTCCTTCAGTGACTGTAACTCTTTGACTCCTGGATCAATTTTTCCACATAAACAGCTTGTGAGAGCTTTGTGTGGGGAGAGAAATACATCTTCTTAACAAGGCATTCTAGTTTCTTCAAAAGAATTACAGCTTCCTCCATACCTGCTTCTCAAGTTCTCTCCATGTTGCCTCTTGTAGCGCTTTGAAAAGTAACTGTATTCTTTCATTAGGAGTAGAAATATGAAGTGTTAAACTTTTTCAGTGTTGCCATATCTTGTGAAATATATTAATTGCATTCCTGAGATTTTAATACTGCTAATTTACCATGATTGAATGATTAAAAATGATTGATATCATTTTTATATTGGCAGTGCTCTAACAAACTTAGTATTTAGCATTGCATCACTTGTCTTACCACATCAGCAAATTTGCTAAGGTAACAAGTCCTGGCAAGATCCTCTGAATATAAGCATGTTTATGAAAGTAACCAAACGTGCATTATGATTTCTTTGAATCACTATTCTTTT